GCCAGGTGAACGTTTTTACTGGCTCAAATGTTTTCTTTAGCTTAATTTGGTCATGATTGACCCCTTAATATTTGGACTACCCTCAAACCTGTAAGAATTGGCATGAGTTGGCCATTCCAGCTAGAACTGACTTGCCCGCTACAGGCTGTTTCTGGAGCATCAATTAACATTTGGTGGTTAGTGAATTCACCTCTGGACAGCTGCAAGTGTAAATTATCCATCTGGAGTTGTAGTCAGTGATGTTACAAAGATTTTGGTGTTGTTTAGTTCCGCTTTTTTACTGCTTAAATTTTCAAAAAAGCATTTCTAATTTTTATGGAAAATATCCCATGATTTCGCCATTTTGAACATTTTCTTTCTCTAGGACTCCACGAACACTTGTGACTATTATTTTTTCCTTATATGGGTTAAATCATGAATCAATCTGTGTTTCTTCTATTTGAGACTGGTGATTTTATTAAATTACAACAAAAACACCACATCAATACAAAACTATACGGGAATTGAGCCGTAATGTAATGGCAAGTAAGAATTGTGTCCAACTTATGCTGCCATTGTTGAGAGTATTGTTTTTAAGTGGAGGCAAGTAAAGTAGCATTAAGGTTTTATCTTGAAATTATTTGGAGTCCACTGTAGAATTTTATGCGATCTCTAGCAACTTCCTAGTGAGGTAGTGTGGATATTCACTACAATTGCGGGAGTTGGTGTGGATTCCCCAACATAATTAGGTTTAAATGCTGCTTGTGTACTGGCGGTGATTAAACTTGGTTAGAAAGGTTGGAGGGACTGTTGGGAAGCAATGCCCAGAGGGAAGAGCTTCACTCACCAGCTTGCATTAGCTAGTTTTTAAAATAAAGTGGAAAGGAAAAAAATGCAAGTAGATTTTCTTCAAATTTATTTATTTCTTCTATTGTTTCTTTATTCATCCTTGTTGAAATTTATGGCAGTGGTGGGGTTTTACTCCCGAGTTTTGAATAAAAATCTTGCACATAAACAAATAGATGAAAAGTGTACGATAGACAAACTGCTTGACTCGAAAAATTTAAAATTGAAAAAAAATTTGTGAGGCCTAGCTTAGGTAAAATAATTTATTATATTGAGTGATATTATAAAGATCCATTTTTCTTTTAATTAGTATTAGAGAGGATGAGATTATAAAGTATATACTCTGTGCTCCACACTAGGTTTTTCTTCGATGATTTTGATGGAAGTAGTGCAGGTTCAAGATCATGTTTGTGCGATAGTGGCCAAGCGATGATTGTCAAATGATAATAGTTATGTGATAATATTCGGGCAAAGATGGTAAGACGACAGTGGTTGAATGGCGATTATCAGGTAATGCTAGTTGCGTAATTGTGATTAAACAACGATAATTATACAAGGGTGGTCAGGGGATGTTGATCGGATGATAACGGTTAGATAGTGTTCTAGAGTTTTTAAAATTTTTAAGCTTTCTTAAAACTATATTCTTCTCCTATGTGGAGAATATGGTTTTATTTATAGCTTTTAAAAGATGATTTTTTTGGTGAAATATAGCTAAAAATTCAGAACACTCTATCGAATGACTCCCATATTGATTTTTTTAATCATAAATTGATTTTTCAGCTTTCAAGTGTTTTAATGATCTATGAATTGAGTAAACTTAGGTTCATTGAATTTTTCTTATCATGACACTCAATATGACCATAATTATGTAAGATTTAGAGAATATTGGTCTTTTATTTAATATCTTTTTTTTTCTTATACTATAGATATTTAATTTTTTTTTAATGAGAAAAAGAGATCGTTGATAATGTAAAGATTGTAATCGATTATTCGTTTTGTATTTTAAGATGAGGAGTTCGAAGATAATAGTTACAATAAAACATTGTCATAATAGTAGATGGAGGCACCTAAAATAGGGGTGTAAACGAACCGAACACGAACGAACAAAGCTTGTGTTCGTGTTCGGTTCGTTTAAAATTTAGTTTGTTTGAAATAAGCTCGTGTTCGTTTCTTAACGTATTAGTATATTACTACTATAGTATATTAATATATTATTATTATTATTTTATTATATATTATAATTTATAAAATTTAATGTTTTAAAATATAATAAATTTTTTATATATAATTATTTTATATTATTTTATATTTCAAACAATAACGATTCGAACACGAACGAACGCATCACTGTTCGTGTTTGGTTCGTTTAACTAACCGAACAAAAAAAATTTGTTCGTGTTTGTCTCGTTTACTTATCGAACGAAGCGAACACGAACTCATTGACGAACCGAACACGAACTGTTCGGGAACAACGAGCTTTTTTGACAGCCCTAACCTAAAAGGCCTGAAAATTATTTTTATGAGTAAATTTCAAGATTTTAAGATTTGGAGTGTTCATGAAGAAGTTAATTCTATGTTGGATAAACTAACAAGCACTTTTAAACACGTGACAGAAGATATACTTGGGGAATCAAAAGGAAAAAAAAATTATAAATAAAAATTGTTGGTGGTGCAATAAAAAGGCACAAAATATAAAATATAAGAAGTTTTATTATAAAAATTGGTTTAAATGTAAAAGCTTAGAAAACTGAGAAAAATATATGTTGGCTCGTAGGGAGTCTAAGAGAACAGTTTGTAATACTAAGAATTATGTTTTTGGTGATCTTTATGATTGATTAGATACTAAAATGGGTGAAAAATATATGTATAAATTAGGCAAATAAAGAGAAAAGAAAAGTAAAAATTTAATTGAAGTGTTTTGAAGATGAAAATCAAAATGTGTTTTTTTAGAGGAAGATATTTAACATATGTGGGTGAGATATTTTGATAAAATTTTCATTGAAATTTTTAAAAATACAATTGAACTTAGCGATTTTAATGTCATTACTAGTAATAAAACGTTTTATTTTACTGTAGTATTACTAAAAAGAAATTTGAGGAGGCTTTAAAGAAAAATAAGGGTGGAAAATTAGTAGGATCTGATGATATTCTAATTGAAGTGTGGAATCATCGGGAGATTTAGGAATTTCCTGGTACTAAACTTTTTAATATTATTTTAAAAACTAAAAAGATGTCAAAGAAGTCGAGAAAGTGTATTTTGTTCCCCATTTTTAAGAATAAAGGGAATGCACAAGAGTGTGTAAAATATAGAGAAATTAAGTTTATCTGTCAAACATTAAAATTATGGGAGAGAGTAATTGAACAAAGGTTAAGACGTCATACCCCGATTTCTCATAATCAGTTTGAATTTTTGTCGGGCAAGCTACTATGGAAGCTATACATTTATTGAGAGACTTGATGGAGAAGTATAGAGAGAGTAAGGAGGATCTACGTATGATTTGTATTGATTTTGAAAAAAAGAATGCTAAAGTTCCAAGAGAAGTACTTTGGAGAGTTCTGGAAATGGAGAGTTCTAGAAAATTTCTAGAAAATAAAGGTGTTGATATGGCCTATATTCAAGTCATTAAAGATATGTATACTAGAGTTGTTACTTATGTTTGAACAAAAGGAGGATTGACCAAGTATTTTCCTATTTCAGTTCGATTACATCAGGGTTCAACTTTAAGCCCATATCTGTTTTGCTTTTGTCATGGACACACTTACTTCACATTTACAGGAGGATATACCTTGGTGTATGCTTTTTCGCTGATGATATCCTTATTGTGGATAAAACTAAAGAAAGTGTTTAGGATAAACTTTAATTACAGAGGTCTACATTAGAGTGTATAGGCTTTCATGTAAGTAGATCTAAAACTGAATACATGAAATGAATTTTTAGTAGTAGATCTAGTGATAGAGTTTTAACAATGGGTAATCAGATCATTAAAATGAGTGAGCATTATAGATTTTCTCAGGGTCTAGTGTTCAAAGTGACGGTGATATATATGAGGATGTTATTAGTAGAATTCAAGTTGGATTGTTCATGTGGAGGAATGCATTAGTCTTATTGTGTGATTGAAAATTACCTTTTAGACTTTAAGAAAAAAATTATAAGATGGTGATGAGATCTGCAATGCTCTATGGCATAGAATATTGGCTTATAAAAGAAAAGCATAAAACTAAATTAAATGTTGCTGAGATGAGAATCTTTAGGTCGATGAGCGGCTTGACTCTTAAGAGACAAAATACGAAATGAATATTTCCATGAAAGGGTTGGTGTAGCTATAGTGGCAGGCAAGATTAGAGAGAGTCGTCTTTTATGGTTTGGTTACATTAAATGTCGTCCATCTGTTGATCCAATTAGGAGAATTGATGTTTTAGATTCGTCTTATTTTAAGAAAGGTAGAGGTAGAACTAAATAGACTTGGGCATGTTGTATAAAAAACAATCTTAATGTATTAGAATTAAATGAAAATATAATGCTGAATAGAACACAATGGAGAAAAAGGATTCTTGTGGCTGACCCCACTTAGTGGGACAAAGGCTTGTTGTTGTTGTTGTATACTATAGGTACTTGATGTGGACTCTTTTAAACTCGATTGGGCCACTTTTGTCGTTATTATATTTGTCTTTTTTGAAATATTCAGTTTGATTATATGCTTGTTAAAATCAGAGTGCGGATGCTCTTGATTTAATTTATGGAAGTTTTCAACTCAAAAATTGCATGAATGTGTTTGATTGGATGATTTTTTGGATGATCTATTTTTCCTGATTTTATCCTATAATTTAAGCACTGATTAGGTCAAACAGCTGCTCAACAACAGAGGCAAAATTAAATATTGGTGGCTGGTGAGTATATTTTAGGAGTTAAAGTTCACATATTGATATCCTGAATGGAGCTTTATCCAGCCTTAGCAGGAATTTAGTTCTCACAATTATATGAAATTCAAGTAAAAACATATGCTATAACAATCATGTGGAAATCATCAGAGCTTTTGACTCTCATAGACCCAATATTTCACGAGCCTTTGTAATTTGTTTTTAAGTTTATCTTTTTGTGATGGATTTAAGTTATCTTTTGGTGGTTTTAACTTAGAACTGCATTTCAGATATAATTGTTTGTTCGCTTATTACAGGTTTCCAAACACTTATCTTCTTGTAGGATGCTGCAATGATGAACTTACTTATCGGTATAAGAGCAAGCCTGTTATGTCTGAATCTGAACGTTATGAATCTCTACGCCATTGCAGGTAATTTACTTCTAAAGTTTAAGAATGAGGAATACAGCACTATTTCTCTTCCCTCATTTAATTTTATTTCTCACTATTTTATCCAGTATGTTCCTGGATTAGTACTACTAAAAATGCGAAGAACAAAATCATCCAAATAATTGTATAGACTCCATTTAAACCTATTTTTTCCCCTAAAATGCACTGCTATGTGTGTTACATTTTATGATTGTATGTCTACAGTAACTGAAGATGTGAACTTTTTCCTAACCTAGGTGGGTCGATGAAGTGATTCCCAATGCTCCTTGGGTTATCACTCGGGAATTCCTTGACAAGCACAATATTGATTATGTTGCTCATGATTCTCTCCCGTAAGTTTTTCATTTTACTGCAAGATTATTTGAATTAAAGTTGATGCCCAATCTTCATTTCATTTTCTAGAATTTATTTATTTACAAAGATGATGCAATAGTTTACAAGTTTTTTGTTTCTAGTTCAAAAATTTTTCTCCTTACTGCACAATTTAATTCTAATACATAACTGCTGCTTTACTTTATTTACTTTTTCAGTTTTAATCAGATCACACACTTTGTTATACTGTAGATATGCTGATGCAAGTGGAGCTGGAAAGGATGTTTATGAATTTGTGCGTTCATCTCTGCGGTTTTTTTGGATAACTTATTGCTCATATTTTCAGCAGAGCTTGTTGAGATCCTTTTACTTTTGTTTTGTTTCAACCATTCAACTGTGGATTCAGGTCAAATCCGCTGGAAAGTTTAAGGAGACAAAGCGCACTGAAGGGATATCTACATCTGATATTATAATGAGGATTCTCAAAGATTATAACCAGTATGTTATGCGAAACTTGGCTCGTGGTTATAGTAGGAAGGAACTTGGTGTCAGCTATGTGAAGGCATGTTTCTCTCACACTGTATCTTTCGCTGCTGTGAAATTCGTTCTGTAGTATCATTTGAGTTTCATGTGTTTGCTACAATCTGCTTAGGCGTAAACTTTGCCATTTGGTTATTTTTTGTAGGAAAAGAGGTTGAGAGTGAACATGGGTATAATAAAGTTGCGTGAAAAAGTGAAGCAGCAGCAGGAAAAAGTAGGAAAGAAGGTAAGCATTGTTTCCTGGATATGCAATTCCAACAAACTACTATATCAATTTAAACGTATATGATTCGGGATCATTATTCAAAATTAATGTTTCTATCTAGTGCTGAATTATCTGTTCATTGCTTATGTGATTATGTTATAGAAAAAGGTTGCAGCCTCAGACCAATTTGGGTTCACCTTTTCCTGGTTTCAATTTTTCTGAATGGATGTTTAGGAGTCCATCTTATTCTGGTTTTTTCTTTGGGAAATTTACATAACACTACCACACATTTCTTATGTATTTACGTATCTAATACTTGAAGTTTAATATTTGCATTTACAATACTTGGATATTAAAAACCTATATATGGAAAGGTGGATGTGAATTTTAAAAATTTAGTGAGTGGTTTTTTCTATTTTATGTCAATAATTTAAGTGGTGCATATGTTAATTTGAAAGTTTAGGGGTTCCATATGTAAATGTATAACAATTCGGTGATACGTATGCTTGTGAGAATTAGACATCTTATGTGCATGGAACACTAATGTGGCTTCTTCCTATAATATATTTTTTGTGCAGTGTAACATAAAGTTATTGGTACTCTTACATAACTGAACGATCATTTCACATAATTGTGAAAGTGTGCAATGGGTGCACACATGGTTTAGGGATTTTTCTTAATTAAGTTTTCTACTCGAATGAAAATTTTTATATTATAGTTTTTGAAAACAAGCATTTGTACTGGTGGTATATCCCATTTAAACCAGACACATGAGCTCCTGTTATTTTCACTGTCAGGGGGATCCTTGTAAAGGAGCTAAGTATTCCACTCGTGGGATTGACCCATATGGTACGTTGGTAGTTCTGAGCATTCATGGCTCAATATGCTGTACAAAAATCCCATAAAAGCTCAGCATCAGTAGTTGTTCTGAACGAGTATAATTTTGTGCAAGTTAAATGTATAAATTGTGATGAAAAATAATGGCCCACTTCACCTCTTATATGATATTTCTTCAATGCTTGCCTAATACTTTACTACATATCACAAATTGCAGACGGGGAAGATTTGTACACTAAGTTTTTATTTGAAGAATTCTCCATTACAAATTGGAGAGCTTCCTCTAGATTGGCGATGCCACATGTAGTAAAATAGATTTCTTTTTTATTCGTCGAATGACTTTCATAGGATAAGATTCTAAACCATAGCAATTATTTTTCTTGATCTTTTAGTTGTTGGGCAAAAGATACATTGAATTCAATTCTTGGCACATTTAGCTAGTTTTTGATTTTAGAGTCAAGCTTGAGAGATCTTTCCATAAGAAACATGAGAGTTAATGTGTTGAATCCATTTGGGATGTAGGATCTTGTATAGTCCTCGAACACATACAATCGAGTGGAAGACCCAGTATGACTGTAAATTGACGGAGAACATGAAGTGAGATGGTGAGATATGGATTGAAAAATCTTGGTGGAGGCTTTGAAAAGGCCTATATCATTGTGTTTTTCGGTAAGCCGGAGATGGGTGATTTCACAAAGATCCCTCCAGCTCCCCCAGAGAGAGAGAGAGAGAGAGAGAGAGAGAGAGAGTGCCCTTCCTTTTTCCCCTCTATTGTCTTTTATACATGAGAGACAATTACATAAATAATGAATACAGTATTTCTAGCTTGACCAACAAGCTTTTTTTGACACCTTTGATGGGAATGCTTTAATGTAGACAAGATCCGCACTTGGTGCGTAATTCTATGTCTGCGATGTGATGGTCATCTTTTAGGTTTGGGCAATGAGCTTGGCCTTGAAAATCGGGCTGCTCTTTAAGGGTGCGTTTGGGACAGCTTGTGCTTATCAAAATAAACAGCTTATTTTGAAACGCAGCCCGCGAGTGACCTGTGGGGTTCGATCCGCGGCCTGCTTTTAGTGTAAAAACCAAAACGCATTTTAGGATAAGCTGCCGAAACGTGTTTTTTAAATGGTGAGGCGGCGTTTTCACACTTATAAGTTGCCCCAAACGGGCCCTAAATATTGTGCTGACAAGGGTTTCTTATTAGATTGGAGCGCATTTTATCTACTTCGGCTGATAAGGCTGTGTTACGAGGGCTTCTAGCCTAAGGCAAATTTATCTTTTGTAAGTCTAAGGGTAGTTTAGTCTTTTATTATTATTATTATTATTATTATTTGGTATAAATAGACTTATTATGTCTAGGGCTACGGGGATATGCATGAGATTGAGTTGTGAGTCTTAGGTTTAGGTTTTGGGAGAGATTTCCTCTCTCAATATGTAGGTATTGGGAGATATCGCCTACCTCTCGAATCGGAGGTGCTTATCTTTGTGTTCTTGTTGAGTTGTTAGATTATTACAATAAAATTCGTGTTTTCCCTAATTTCTATGAAAATCTGTCGATTTCTACGTTTATTCGTATAAAATTCTTATCAGAGTTTTCAAATTCTTGGAAATTAACCACTCATTCATTGGGGCTAAGATTTCTCGTCCCCTTCTGCGTCGAGATCACAAGGATGGATTTTTGCGTACAGAGCGACAACTACTTGGAAGCCAGACTGGATCAAGCCGTTTTCGGCATACTGCAATTGGGAAAGCTCTGACTTGAAGGATCGCAACTAATCGAGACCCAAAACTCACATCGTTTTAGCCTCCCTCTGTTGCACGTAGAACGATGGGATCAGGGCTCGCCTTTGTGATCTAAACCTTCATTACAATTGAGAGTAGAACTTGTTGAGAAGGAAATGGATGGGAAGTGGCACACAGATTCCCAAAACTCCAATTTTTCTCTTCCTTCTGCATTGTCTATGCGATCCAATCGTGATCAGAGCTATCTGGGGAGGCATGCGCGAGGAATCGCGGCGCACTGGGACCCGAAACTTTCATTTTTTTCTTCCTCTAGTATCTTCTATGCTATCCAGTTGCGATCTGAACTATCTGGGAAGGCAGGCGCAAGGGATCGCGCCGCACAAAGACCCGAAACTTTCATTTTTTTTTTCTCTTGCACCGTCTACGCGATCTAATCGCGATCAGAGCTATTTGGGAAGGCAGGCGCGAGGGATCACAATGCACAAGGACCCGAAACTCCCATATTCCAGGATCACGTCATTTGCACACGTACAATCACCGTAGGTGCTTCTTGGGAAGCTTGACGGGATTGACTTTATCCGGAAACATTGATTTGAGGTACAATTGTGATATGAGCTAGCTGAGGAGAGACGATGGGAATTCAGGGTATAAAATTTATTTTTGAGATTGAAAAACATTGTGAAAGAAATGACATCAAAGAAAGTAGATGATCTGGAGAAAAAATTGGAGCAAGTGACGAGTCTAATGAAATTTGTTATGAGAGAGAGATTCGTCACCATTGAGGAAATGTTCTCTTCTATGGAGAATCGACTGGAAGATTGATTCGAGAGCATGAGGGAAATTCAAGAGATGTTAAAGAGGCTCATTGAGATGCAATCCAAGAGACTGCCGACAACTCAATTTGCAAAACCTAAACAAAGTTTGATTGAAGAATCTGTCGCAAGATAAAAAGAAAAGTGATTGAATGTGAGGAACAAAAGGAGGAAATCATCCACCATCACAAACCTCCTCTCAGGGCTCCGATTAGGGGTGAATTAAAGATCTCTGATGAAGGCAGGTGGGCCGAAATGTGGAAAAGAGATTATGCAAGAGGTATGGAAGAAACAATGAAAAATATAATGGAGTTTAACACAAAATCGGCTCCAACAGCAACAACCAGAAGGATTCGAGCGACATCAGGGTACGTAGCTTGTTGATCACCACAATTTCTCTCAACTCCGTATTAGGTGTCTCTTCCATCTTTTCCAACTTCGATTCTGCTTGCTTATGTTTGTTAAAGTCGTCAGTATGTCGTATTATTTATTTGAAGTGTCGCATCTCGAGTCCGCTCATTATTTCTTCTCTCGATACCGCAGCTTCCGATGACTGGAAATCAGGCCACTAGCCCATTTAGATGTAGCCGAAGGATATGCACAATACAGGTGCAATGAGATGATTCATGATGCACATGAAATACGAGAGTTTTGCAGTATCATATGTTCTTGCAATAGCTAGCTCAAAGTGAGAAGGGCATTTATTTACTATAAAATGAAACTACTAACTCAAAGATAAATTACTTTTTAAATCGTCAATAGAAAAAAAAAAATTAAACTATTGCAAGGTGATTCTTTAAGGGCTCTTTGGTTGCAAGTTGGATTTAAGTTAAATAGGATTTATCAAATCCGGTAAATTCGGATTTATCAAATCTAAATATTATTAAATCTGAAATAATATTTGATTCGATTAAATCCATTTGATGTGTTTGGCATATCTATTTGAAATATTTTTTCCCAAGCTAAATCCATTAAATCCAACTAATTAGTAGATTTACTAAATTCAGATTTAATAAATGAAATGCGCAAAAATTGGATTTAACTTAACGGTGAATTTATTTAACCTATTTATGGTGTTTGGTGGATTTACATTAAATCCTTACTTAAATCCCCTTAAAATTGTCCTACCAAACACTCCCTAAGAAAGTTTGATCGTATAATATATAGTAGTTATCATGAAAGTATATCTTTGCAGTATTAAAAAGTAAATCAAATTAAAAATTATTCAATTATTTAGGAAGTAAAAAATTTAAATATCATACATTATTAATGTGAGAAATGTTGAAATAAAAAAAAAAGAAATACAGAATCACCAAGTTTTAAACAAATTTGATGTAGGAGAAAAGTTTAGTTGCATTGATATGATTATCATAGAAGTTTTAGGAAATTATGAAAAAAAATATATATTATAGGTATGCGTTGCTGGCACACATATATAAGGAGATCATCACAGAATGATAGATTGAAAAGGTTGTTATTGCGGAAAATTTAGCTTTTTAAACTGTTAAACTCATTATATTTAGATATGAAATATTTATAAGGAAGCTTAAAGTCTTACATTGAGTATATAATAAATAAAGAAATGCATATTCTTTTTATTTACTTGCTATGTAGGTTATGTGCTAG